TACTAGACGAGTAGTCGATTTTATAGTATCTAGTCTTATAATCGTAGTAGTATATCTAGTAGATCCTACCTTCTTTTAGTATAATAGGATCTCTTAGGCTATAGCTATACCCTAATATAGAGTTAGCTCTTCGATAAATATTAGGGTATATACCGCTAGTCTATCTATAAGATTATATTATATAGTAATACTTACTATATAGCTATCTTAATAAAGCTATAGCTTCTTTTACTACCTATCTCTAATAATATAGATATTAAGAAACTATACTACCTCTCCGTAATCTATTAATTCCTAGTATACTTCTAGATCTTACTCTAGTTATATAGCCCTTCTTTATATATCTTTATAATAAGTAATTAGGATATCGTCTATATAAAAAAAGACTATTAGTCTATTTCTAATAAAGATATAAGGGTCTTCTAGGGCTTATTATAGACTTAGCTTACGAAATATACTAGCTACTTCCTATTACTATAGTCTAGGTAAGACTCGTAGACTATATAGTACGCGGCGGAGCTTCTAGTATTTACCTAGTAGTCTAAACCTATTAGGTATCTAGGTATAGACCTCTTTTTCTAGCGTACTATTTAAAAAGGTAGTAATAGTATCCCGCTATCTTAGATCGAGATTAAATACGGTAATAAGGGTAAAGATTATCCTTATAGTCCTTACTACTAGTATAGTAGCTCTCTTTTCTTTATACGAAATAGTCTCTAGATCTCCCCGTATATATATACGAGCTTTAAATTTAACTAGATAACTATCCTAATCGTATTTATAGGTGAATACCTATATAAGAGGTAGTATTTACTTACCTCTATCCTTTAGTCTCTCTATAGTCTTATAGGTTTCCTTTTCTATTAGAGAGTTAATCTCCTTCCTTATTACTATAAGAAAGCCTTCCTAAAATAGATAGTTTATAATATCTTTATAGTATTTTAGGACTAGAGGGAGATTATCTTAATAACGTCTAATTTTAGGTTTCTTAGTATATAGTCCTATAGCGAAAGTATATAGTAGCGTAGGAGGGTCTTCCTTTTCGTCTATAGTTCCTATAATTATTATATCTATAGCTCCTATATTTATTATATAGATATAGTCTTTATCTTACCTAGTTTAACGTCTTCGCTTTCTACTAATAATATTACTAGTATTAATATCTTCTACGATTTATCTACTTAGGGCGAGAAGTTCCGTCTATAGTTATCTTTCTAGCTTATTTTCTAGCTTATCTTCTATAGTGGGAATAGCTTTATTATTCTAAGTCTAGTCGCTAACTAGATCCTCTAGATCCCCTAGTATATCTACCCCCTAACTAGGGGTAGTATAGTGATCCTACGTATAGGGTTCTTATAGCGGTATAATAGGGAGCGGAGGAAGAGGTTTATCCGGAAATATACCTAGCGGGGCTCGGGGTTTATAGATTTTAGGTATTTACTATATAATCGTAGTTTTTAGGGAGGGTAGGACCACTTATTAGTCTACCCCCTAAAGTAGGGTAGTATCTCGCTAACTAACTTCACTAGCTATCTCCCTCTACGGAGAGTTCTACTATATATTCTACTAGTTTTCTTACTAAGATCCTTACTAAGATCCTTACTAAGATCCTTACTAATTATAGTGCTAAGTTTCTTATAGATTATTAGACTAAGCTTCCTATAGATCTCGATAATCTCTCTCTTCTATTTCGCTAGTCTCTTAACTAGCTATTACGTAATTAAGTACCTAGGTAAACTCTTCTATAGTAATTTCCTAAGGTTCTTACTATATTAGTATTAGAATAAGCTAATATCTATTATAATTAGGGATATATTTATAAGTTTTATTAAATACTATATCCCTAATAGGCTTCACTTTCCTATTATATAGAAACTAGATTTTCTAGATATTTAATACTATATAGCTAACTAAGAATCCGATCTTAGCTCGTAGGTTTATTTTATTAGACTAGACCTATTTATCGATCCTATAGTATACTAAACTTCTATATAGTTTAATATTTAATAGGTTAATCTTTAGCGCCTATAGTGCGAACTCTTTCCGTACCTCCTCCTATAGTATAACCTAGTAGTTTTCGGTAGTAATATACGTCGGCGTACGATTTAGTAACTATACTATAGCGTTAGCGGCCTCTAACTATAGATCTTTTAGGAGCTTTCCTTTAAGCACGAGTATACGTATATAAGTAATAATTATACTACCGGATCTTTTAGTATAACTATTTATTTCGGAGTGCCCTAAGGGGTTATAATATATAAGGATACTATTAGAAGTGAGGCTATATTCCGTAGGTTTTCTAGCTAAGAACTTATTATCGTATTAGAAGGCTTTAATTAGTAGATCCTATTAGTTTCTTACTAGTTCTATAAAACGATTAATCGCTAGCTAATACTTAGGCTTTATTTTATAGGTTATTAGCTAATAAAACCTAGGACCTTCTAGGTAAAAATAAGAGATCTAGCGGTATTTATTCTCTACTAGCGGTAGCTAAATAAGATTAAAGTATACTCTTCTAAATCGTCCGAAAGTACGCCCGATAGCTTATCTTAATATCTATCTTAATATACGACCTAGCTAGTAAGTCTAGTATAATACCTACGTTTCCGTAGTCTCCTTTCCTATAGACTCTTTTCCGGTAGACTCTTTTCCTTTATTATTAAAACTAACTCTATCTACTATAGTAGCGAGTTTTACTATACTTCGTTAATTAATATAGGCTAGTCTCCGGTACTAGATATCTAATAAGGCCTTTAATTACTAAGGTTTTACTAACTTTCTCTCTATAAAATAGGCTTACTAAGGCTATATAAGTTCTCCGGGTTAATTAAAGATCTAGAGGTTAAACTAGTCCTAAAGGTTTATATAGATAACTAGTCTATTATTAGGGTCTCTAATATAGTTTATACGCTAATATTATATTCCGCCTTTCCATTTTAGTATAGAATAGGATACTAGGTTTATATAGAAGCTAAAGGAATAGAGGGTATTACTAAGTATAATCTCTATTTTACCTTTTACTAGATATCTACCTACTAGTCTAACCTTCCCCTTTCCTAGTACCTAGGTAGTACTATCTCCTATCGTAAGATCCGAAATCTAGGGTATAAAATCGATAAAAAGGTCTCTATTATTATAGATATAGGTACTAGATCCTATATTAAGGATCTATCTATCTTTTAAGATAGGCTATCTATTTTTAGTAAGTAAGAGGGCGTATTTATAGTTTTATACTAGCCCTCCCTATCTAGTGTAGGGCTTAAGGGTACTAATATACGGTATAGGGGTAGTAGCGAAGCTTACTTAATTTATAAACTCTTCCTTCTAAGGTTACTAAGTTTACTAAGTTTACTATACCTTTTCTACCTTCTTTTCTACCTATTTCTTCTAAGTAGGTTCTTTAGCGAGTTTTTACTTAATCTTTTCTAGCTTTCTAGGGTTAATATAGGTCCCTTTAGGGCGGTTTTCCTTATTAAGATATTAGTATATTACTATTTTATATAAATAATAGGGGTTCCTATATAGATACCTCCTTTTTTTAAATAGGATCGGCTTCTTAGTTTAGGACTTTAATTCTTAGTGCCCCTACTAGGTTAAAAATACCCCTTTTAGGGGTATAGTAGATAATACCTTTTATACCCCTATTTCTCGATTTATTATACGGAACGACTCGAGGAGATTATAGGTTTAGTAGACTTTCTTATCTATAACGATCTCTTAATATCTTCCTTACCACTAAATAGGTAAGACCTCTTTAATAGTATATAGGAAGTCCCTATTTACGTCTCCGTTATTAATACCGAGGCTAATAGCTTACTCTCTTAGAGTATTCTATTATTTAAGCTATTATTCAATATCTCTAGTCGGTTTTTAGATAGCGAAGACCTTCTACTTTATTCGGACTTCCTCCTCGTATATAGTTAATCTCGCGAAGCGATCTCTAAGGTATACTAGTCTCTTATATAGGGTCTAATAGTCGGTAATAGCGGTATAGTAGATTAGGTCTAGGAAGGTATAAATATAGTTATTTATATTAGAAAGTCCTTTTATCTCCCTATCCTATTTCGATTAGTCTACTTTAAAGATATCTATTTTATCTCTCTAGTCTCTTTTATCCGATTTAGTCCCTCCGTAGGGGTATTCCGGCCTAATAGGCTCTTCCTTCCTAACCGGTCTCTCTATCGGGGGGGTGTCTAGGTTATAGTGCTTCTAGACTTATTTTTATATCGTATATAGCTTTACCCGGGCGAACTAGGTGCGCTATTAGGGCGAGTCCTTTAGTTTTTCGCCCTTTATAGCGGAGAGAATTGTTAATACTTCTATTATTAGGGTTAGGTGCTATATAGCCTTAGCGGGCTATTATACAGCTTTAGAGGTTACTATATAGTTTTTAGGTGCTAATAGGCGCTATATCTTATGAATAGCGGCCTTATCTCGTGCGAACCGGGCTTATAACTATCAACTAACGTGGTATTCAGTATAGTAGGGGTCTAATCAAGGGAGTTGAAATCTCTGTATTTCTATATCCACTCTTCTAGCAGGAAATATGACTATCTGACTAATATCAAAAATACTACGTGGACAGGATAAACTAAACTTCCGGTATGCCGATCTCATGCTCCGACATAGTCAGATTAGGAGTAGGGATAGTCAGATTAACAATCCCCTAAATATATCTAATAATACCCTTAAGGCTAGATTCCGATAAGCGTGCGATATTACGCTATTAGATAGCTCTAAATTTAAGTATATCTAAAGGGATTAAAATCCCGAATTCTTTGTCGGTAAGGGAATTAAGCCCGGTATTACCTGGACTTTCATAGAGAATATTCGTGAATAGGTTAAAAACGTAAAGAACGTAATCCTAGTTATTAAAATGGCATAGAAAAACGTTTTAGCGTTCGGTATTAGCATTCTAGGGTACGAGTTGAATATATTTATTATATTCGATAACACAGCCCTACTTCGCGCGATGTATTTGCTTAATTTGTCCATTAATCTTAAACGTTACCCAGCAAATCAAGTGCCTCTTCTGCGGTAAGGCGACTAGACGGTAAAAATCGCATCAATCCTTGGATCACATGAAGTAGAGGTTTAAGTGTTGGATTTGGTACCAAGCCAGCAAACTTCCGTTCAAGCTTTGAGGTTCCGTAATCTTCGAGCAAAATTAGCAACAGTTCTGTGTGTGGATCAATTTTAAAAATTACCTTCTTCTAGTTCCAGATTATGGTTAGACCTCATCATCATTGATTCCCACTTAGACTCCCATTTAGCTGGCAACCCCTCCACAAAGCCAATCATTTGGAAAATCAAAACTTCGTCCTCGCCAAGATACCAGAATGGCCAGGTCGTGAATAAGAAGGAATAAATCTACAGTTCATATCGCCGTAAGTATATTTCCTTCAAAGAAATGAAATGCTGACGTACCATGCAACCTGTGCGCCATAAGTCGACGCGATAATCAAAGCAGTCTGTGAAAATCGTCTCTGGTACCTTCAATGAAGCCGGCTGGGCCAGCTTCGGAGGTTCCTGTCCTTGATAGAAACTCTCTCCAAAATCAAGCAGCCGAATATCTTCGTCGTCCTCGTCTATCCACTCGGTCCATTCTGCTGCCTTTATCAGTTGAGCCGGTAATTCATTCCCTAGAGGCGTGCCATCAATCCGTTTCAGCGGCTCAATTTCCGGGAATCCAAGAACATCAAAGAGCTGCTCTTCAGTTTGTTTGAACAGACGAGTGCAACTGAATGCAATATTCCGACCACTAATGTCTAATAAAAAGTGAGTAAAACAGCGCCAACCAAAAAAAAAAAAAAATAACTGCAGATAGGGAAGCACACTCACCTCCATGGCACATGCCGGCACTATGAATGAATTTGACAGCGTTTAAAAGCTGCGTAGAAATTCGGAGCACGGTTTCCGGGTGGAGCTTATCGTGACTCCCATGGTAGTCCGAGAGGACCTTATCAACTGAAGGACCAAGTAATTCAAATACAAGACATTGGTGGACCCCGTTGGGGCCTTTGTGAGTGAAGGCATCAAGCAGCTGAACAATATAGTTTGAAGTAAGCCCTCTTCGAGAATGCCTCTCTAGAAAGTTTAAATTTTGCAGCTCTCGTGATCCCGACGAATTTGCGGTCATGATTTTCAAGGAGACCCATTGATTTCGGCTGGTGTGAGATTAGCTAGAAATGATAAAGTGGTGCGGGACAAACTGACTCTCTGTCTTTCGCAAGCCATACCGTGGAAAAGCCACCCCATCCTAACTTGTGATGTATCTTGTAACGATCATTTTTAAATGTATCTCCAAGGTTGACGGGATGGTATCCTCCAGGTTGATATTTTAACAATGACTCCTGTGTATGAAGAAGGTTGCTTTGGCAGTACAGAGATAAATCCATTTTAGAACGTAAAGTAGGACAAGAGCAGGGAGGTGTTTGGGGGAGAGTCGAATGTCGCAATTCGAAAAGTCACGCTGTGTCGGGGATAAATTTGCCTGATAAGTTGGGTGACTAATCTGACTTGGTAGCCCTCCATCTATGTCTTGGCACCCTGAATGATTGGATATAGCACACCGCTTTGGGTACTTCTAGCCGCCCGTGTGAAATAACTGTAGCACTGAATATTGAATATTTTTAGAACTGGTTCTTACGGTCTAACGAAATTTGCTTCTTATCTTAAAAATGAAACTCTAAGTGTCATAGTGCTTGATTTAAACGCTTAGTTACCGATTTTGGTTTTTGTGCGCTGTACTAACACAATTTTTGTTTGATCAAGCGCTTACCTAAGTATAACCGGCACTATTTTACCAGCTCCGTTGACTAACACTAAACATATAAAATTACGGGTGTATCACCAAAGTTGAACGTAAGCTATTCTTAAGAAATTTAGCTATTGTCCACCATATAAAAAACAGCGCCGTGTTTAGTATCGCCTAGCATTTACTCCCAATGCCTGTTCAAGTCATTTATGATCCGGACTGTGACTAAAATTTTCCTCGTCTTTATCATAACTAATTCTAATAGTGGATTAACGGGAATCACCGATTTGTGATTCATGACGGAAGTGAACTTGTTTTTGATCAGGCTTATGTTCTGTTGGTGAGAGGCAGGCATAGTGAAAAATCTCCTTTTACTAAATGATTCTACTTAGCAACGGCCTTCATCCCACTACAAGTACCTATGACCCGAGCCCAGTTCCACATGTCACTGTTCGCTTGTCGACCCCATCTCTACGTAGTCAAAGGAGTTAGTACATTCTTCACTGGCGAGTCGGCGGTGGCTCAATCTTTCTTCCGCGACCAGATAATGAGGAATCAAACAGGCGAAGGCAGATAAGGAGAAGGGAGAAGAAGCAGCGGAGACAGGAAAGAAGCCGTGGAGATGACAGTGCTCGAAGCCATGCTACTAGTACAGGGGTTCCTTCTCGTGAGATAGCTCCCCCTTATGGAACAGTCCCCATTCGTGGGACGGCCCCGCCTTATAGAACTGCCCCCGCTTGTGGAACCGCCCCGCCTGGTGGAACTCGGGGAAGTGATCCTAGATAAGGATAGTGTTCCACTCCTGATAGTGTTGGGTCTACCGGTTATGGCCTGGATTGACTGGGGTTTTTTCTGTCGCCTAGGAAGCTATGAACCTAGGGGACAGAGGTAGCAAACAGTTTTATATACTTAAGGCAGAATTTCAATTATCCGATTCTTCAATAGTCAAGCCTGCGTGCCGGAAATGGCCTCTAGCATTAGCTCCTTTTGCACCAACCTAATTGATATACCGCTTGATAAAGGAGGCGAATTCTCGATCAGGATCTTCTGCGTAGTAGCTCTAATTGCATCTTATAAAGGCTTTAAGTTCAGCGACAAACTCTTTAATTGGATTAAAATCTGGCGAATATAGAGGCAAATAAACCAATTTGACTCCCGTATCAGTATATATTTGTGAAATCCGCTCGGAGTGATAGAATGATATATTATCTATAACTAGAACCGACTTCGGCCCCGGCTATCTCCCGTAATAATAAAAGAGTTTATTAACGAAGTCTTTGAATATAGCGGTATCCGTCGAGCCGCGCAAGACCCGAGTTATTAAAATACTATCTTAGGTATACGTAGGTAGGATTTGATAACGCTCGTTATAGTAGAATTAAGATACTTATTAAGGTGCTATACCGAGTGGTAACTAGCCTATTCGTCGGAACCCGATACGTTTATCGTATCTAGACTTATTAATATAAATAAGGTGGTACGACTCAAAATTCGGAGAGTAGACCTGGCAGTGACCCTCCGGGTGGTCCATGACCTTAGACCCTCCACCCGCCCCTCCGAGGTTTAGGGTCGCTTATGAGCGACCCTAACCCTAACCCTAGTTCTATAAGGGTCGTATACGGGTGACCCTTAATAACCCGTAGCGACCCTCGGATATATGAATTTCTAGCGCTAAACCTAATATAGGTAGATAAAACTAATTACTTATCTTAATAAAATACTATTATTTATACCTATTTTATCTATTAGACTATAAATACTAACACTTAACTATTAAAGTTATAGAATGTCTTAAATTATTTTAATAATATTATTTTTCGCTAATAGTTCTATTAGTTTTATACTTTTTTTATATTATACGACCGTAGGAAAGAAGTATAATAGGTAGTAGAAGTTATTAGTCTATAACAAAGTAGATATATATATCTATAATATATATTATATTAATTAAAAGATTTATTAGGGGTCTAAGATTTACTAAGGGTTAGAATAAGGTTTATAGAGGGTTTATAAAGTTCGTTAAGGGTTAGAATAAGGTTCGTTAAGGTTTACTATAAGTAATATATAATAAACTAACTAATAATAATAGCTTATTTAAGAATATAATATATTAACTTAGTAAATTATATATTTATATCTTTTATACTTAACTTTAAGAAAATAATTAACTATAGATTATTTACTCCTTACTATCTTTCTATTTATATATCTATATTAAGTATATTATAATTTTCTAATATTTATACTTCCTTAAACTATAAGGGGGTATTATTAGATACTTTTTAATATCTTATTCTAGATAATACTCTATTTATAACCCTTTATACGTTAGGTAGTTAATAAACCTTAATATCGGGGGTGCCTCTATATAGACCCCCCCACTCCCTCGATCCACCCCCCTTTACACCACTTCCACCCCCCTTATCCCGATACAGTTAGTAGATTACCATAATAGGAATCTTATCATTTATATACAGATAAAGCTTAGCGCTAGGGCTATATTGTTGACGCTAGTATTTCTTAGCGTATGAGTGTAGTATCATATAGTATAGTGTATACCAATTAGCTAGATATCTTCCCTCCTATGTGGTTATATGACCTCAAAACAGATACTAATTTTTAAAGACACCGGCAATAGACTATTTAGCTGCTATCTCGCTACTATAATATCTGTCGATCTTATATCTTAAACCCTTCATTTTTGAACCCTCAAAACCTTCATTTTTTCGATTAAATATATTAGAATTTCTATATAGAGGTAAACCTATCTAGAATACTATAGTATTTACTAGGAGTAGGGGCCTTCCGACGACCTCTTCTACCCTACTAAGATTGATTCCTCTTCTTCCTCTTTACCCCCTCCCCTCCTACTAATGATTATGTACTTCTTTTAGACTCTACGGCTCGCTTAATATTAGCCCTTTCCCTCTCGAGTGTATATTTAAATCCCGATAGATCCCGTCGTACCGACCGCCCTATAATCGCTACTCGCCTATCGCCTCGTTTATACCGTATTAGATTCCGGACTATAGAGATATTATTAATTAGGCGAGGGGGAAGGTAATACTATAAGACCTAGTAGGCGTAGAAGTTAGATACCTAGAAGCTTTACTTTTTCTTAATATAATAGCTAATCCGGTAAATATACGGTATATTATATACTATTATTATACTATACTATAGTTAATAGGTCCTATTATTTAATAATAGAGAAAGTAGTGTTTTCCCTATACTATTTACTAGATAATAGCGCTAGTAAATCTATAATACTATCCTCTATATATATATAGAGACTAAACCCTCTATATTATAAAGTAATAGGGTAGTATAGAGCTATTAGCCGCCTATTTACTAATTAGTATCCTATTAGATAGTAGTAGTTTAGCGAGTAATTACCCGCTTAAAAATATATATAACCTTAAGAAGATCCTTAGTAGAAACCTAGAGATCTCTTTTTAGCTACTAATAGGAAGCCTTATTACGGGATATCGATATTATATTAATACGAAAAAATCGATTAATATAGAAATATAGGAAGTGCTTACTATATATTACCTACTCCTATAGAATATAATTAATAAATCTAGGGAATTAAGTATATATAGTAATAAAGACTTCTTAGTAGATAGTAATATCTTTATTAGTTAGTATAAATATCTATTTCCTTAGTAGCTTTTATATAGTTAGCTATTATTACTAAATATCTTCCTAGTATTATCTATCTACTTTCGTATACCTAGTACGTTATATATTAGCGAGTATATTATCTTAAAGAAATAGGCGGGACTTAGAAAGGATATTCTTCTCGATATACTAGAGGTATATAATAGTATTATAGTCTAGGAAAACCTACTAAAATTAGTAGGATAAACTTAGTATAATCTAGATCTTACTTACCTCCTTAATTATATTAATTAGTCTAACGTCTTTATTAGTAAAAATAGTAATTAGGCCGGTACGGCTAAAATACCGGTAAACCCTTACTAGCTATTTAAGGATAATAGTATAGGTTTCTTATAGTATATTATATATAAATATAAAGCTAATAGTAAATAATTTACTAATTATAGATACCCTAACTATATTTAATAGTAGTATTTAGTACCGATTAGTCTTATATATATAATCTATCTAGAGGACGTAATAATACTTCTATAGTAAGACGAGACTTAATTTATAGATATAAAAAACTATAATAACTAAGTTATTATCGTTAAGTATATAGCGGTAATACTAGTCACTATAGCTTAGTAGCTCTCGAAGAAAGGCTTATATTAGGGTATCGCCTCCTAGGAACCCGACCTAAAGCTTATATTTCTATGAGAACTACTATGGGCACCCAAAATTACTACGGGCACCCAGGGCGCTAAGCCTTTTACGATTTACTTCCCACTGGCCATAATTTATTCACAGCTTGTCGTATTTAATATGGTACTCCCTTAGTATTTCGGACAGTATCCGAATCTTATCTGGGCACCCTATCAGTAATGTAGAATCTCGCACGCCATCTACACTACCATACAAAAATGAAGCTATTCCCAGATGCTGATTTGATCAAGTTCCAGTGCAAAAATGGAGTTTTTTCCTACTGAAAAAGGGTTTGGTGCAAAAATAAAGCTATTCCCAGATGCTGATTTGATC